TGGTTATAACTTTAAGGAGACCTAAAAACACATGATGATGCCCTTGAGCAAAGCCTTGCCAGCCTTGACGCACCTCCAGGTGCAATAGGTTCTGTGAACAATGCAGCGGGCAGCAGTACCTGGCCCATGACGGGCTGGTCCATGAAGTATTCAAAGCCAACTGACAATGTAGAGCATGCAGGCCGGTCTGCTGTGGGCACACAGGACCTCTCCTACCTCACCCCAAGTGGCCATCCCGTGCCCACCTGCCCGGTTAGCTCCTGAGCGGACCTCCATTCTGCTCCTTCGCCAGCACCCCAAGGCTGGCTGCTTATCTCCCCTCCATCCCGACATACTGCACCCCATGCCCCGGTGCCCTGGGGAGAAGACAAAAGGTGCCTCTGCCCCCTATTCTACATCCCTCTGCTTCTCCCAAGTGCCAATGTGGGCCAAAAAAAAAAGGGACTTACCTCCGTGACAGTGCAAGTTCCCAGTCAGGAGAAAAGGGCTGACAGCAACTGGGCAAGGAGCATCTCTCAGACCCCACAGCGAGGATGCTTACTATCTGTAGGGCTCTGGATATAAAGGATATAAATACTAGGCAAGTTTTTGTTTTGTTTTAATGTGTTTTCTACTTATAAGCAGAATCAGAAGATGCTCCATTTTGAGGACTCTGACAAAGCAATGAGTAAGGGTGAACGGAAATAGTATGCCCTGCTGTCTGAGGTCCCGCTGTGTCTGTCTGCTCTGCCTCTGCAGGTGCTGGGAAAGCTCCTCTGGCTGTTAAAGGCACCTGGCCACAGAGCATATGCTGAGTGTGCGCCTACGCCTCCCAGCAGGTGTGGCTGCTCCCCCAACAGAGAGAGAGAGAGAGAGAGAGAGAGAGAGAGAGAGAGAGAGAGAGAGAGAGAGAGAGAGAGAGAGAATATGACTTCCTTCTCTGGAAATGAGAAAATTATCTAATTATATCTTTTAGAAAGTTTATCAATCTTAGATTCAGAAATCTATGCTGGTCTGACCTTATATATAAACAATGTTAAACACTTTAAAAAAAAAAAATAGCAAGGGGAAAGTGAGAGATGAACTTATTATCACTTAATAGCACTTTCATCAAAATATGGTTTACATTTTAACCTTGCATTTACTTTATTAGTCAACTTTTAATTTTTTTAAGGACTAGCACTGGGTTATATATATATATATATATATATATATATATATATATATATATATATATATATATAGCAGCTATAGCAAATGGGAAGCCTTCATTAGGCTGCTCTGTCTGAGCTTATTCCTTTCATAAACCTGGGAGCCCTGTTCTGGCTGGAAAAGACCGGGAGGATGCACTTCCTGTCTTAGGAAAGAGTGGCTGGACACAGAGACCAGTTATTCTGAGCCGGCGGCTCCTTCAGGGCTCCCTGTGACCCCACGCCTCCCTTACTGACACTCTTAGTGGAGAGATTTAAACACATACCACACTGTAATGACTATGGATTAAGTGGAATATCTCAGGCAGCAGGGCAGTCAATCTGAAGTCTTACCTATGCACAGAACTTTGGAAAGAGAAAAAAGGCATACAATGGAACACACAGGCCAGATAACTGCTCTTCTCTGCTTAGCATCACAGGCAGGCCCTATAACTGACTGGGGGAGGGAGATACAGATATTAGTTACAGGATACAAAGGGCTATGGTGGCCTCCAAGTCCTTCAAAATATATATTTAAAAAAATAATGCTGTGTTTGTGTTTAGTGTCATGGGGTCATTCTCCCTGCCTCTGTGGATGAAAAGCCATAGGTATTTAGACTGAATACCTCTAGAACACGAACCATGAGTACACATATAGGTACTTCTCGAAATCACCCACTGAGATTACAAACTTGCCACTGAATCTTGCAAATGGCTGTAAGGATGTTGAAACATTCTTAGATAGAGTAGATACTGAGAAGACAACATTAAAACCACTATGAAATCATAATATCTCTGCAAATAAAGCAAAAACACTTTCATTCATTCCATATGAATGTTATGACCACGGATAACGATAATCTACATATATACCTCTGGAGCAGGGCTGGGGAATGTCTGGCCCAGGTCGTATAAAGCCCAAAAAATCATTTGGCCCGGCCCTGCCAAGGGAATAGGAGTGAGTTAATTAAATGTTTGACCAAATACAGCAGGCTAATTTTTAACTTGATAATTTTGTGCAACCCTTCGAATAATGTTATAAATATCCAAATGGCCCTTGGCAGAAAAAGAAGGTTCCCCACCGCTGCTCTAGAGCAACCATGTTGCCCACAAGGCACATCATAACAATTTTCACTTAAAATAATAATTTTCATGTAAAAATAAATTGAGAAAGTCAGGAAAGAGAGGGGGAGGGGAGATCTGTTGATTACATAGCTATCCATTCGCGATTCTTTCACATTAGGGCCTATGTGACTGCAAGTAGGAAGCATATATACACAAGGTACCTTACATTCAAATCTATAAACTCTTTTATAGTCAAAATAAACCTTATACATTAGCATTTTATACACTCAATACCAGAAAACATCCAGTGCACATTAAAGTGATCTGGGTCAAAAGCCGTTTTATTTGCTGTAACTTTCAATCTATCTGCCCTCCTGCCCTTGGCTTGCGCTAGGTGGCAAAATCACCCAACACTCACCCAACCCTCAGTCTGATGGAGCGCTGTTGTTGTTGTTTGTAGTCTTGACAGTTATATCCCTTCCTGGCATGAAAAACGCTGTTTATGCTTTATCATTTTGGATAAATTGATTCTTCAAATATTTTCAAAGACTTGCAGAAAAGAGGTCCATTAGGAGACATAAACACACAGTAAAACACACCGCCTTCTCACTCGGCCCTTCCATCTGGGGGGGTCCCAGATGACCACCCATGGAAATGACAGGGATTTTGCCTGTGAATCCCCCTGGGAGAGATCAACTTCAGAAGATATTGCTGCAATCTCGCCTGCAGATTCCATTCCTCTCAAGAGAAAGGAGAGAACATGAAGGATTCAGGAGTACTCGTCACCGTCACCGCAGAGCCTGTGTTGGATCCCATCAGCTTCTGAGCTTGAGTGGGGAGTGTCCTTGGGGACATTTTATTCAGAATGACGAGCCGCATGGTGGCCGAGACAAGTTCTGCTTGTAAAGAAGGGGCTTCAATAGGTTTCTCCCTTTTACATGAATTAAAAACAACAACACAGAGTTCAAAACATCGGGTTCTTTCCCTGCCAGCTGTCTTCACAGTCACTACACACCTGTGGCTTTAGATTTTTTTAACCCTTTGTGGCCTGGTGAGTCTTCCCAGCCCAACTGGTAGAGATTTTCATGTCCTCGCTTCCAAGTCATGCAGAGCGACCTGCTGGGACTCCCACTGATAATAAATGTCTTTAGTATGCAGTGAAAAAGTTTTTGTTTGTTTGTTTTTAGCAAAACAAATAATTCATTTCACAGATAAAGGTGGCCGCAAAATTTTGATAAAGAACAAAACTTTAGGCCACAAGGGTTTAGAGTAGCAATTTTCAACTGGTGTGCCTCAAGAATTTTTAAAATATGCAATACCTGACTATTTAGTCAGGGGCACTGACCTCTTTTGTCTTAGACTGTCAAATTGAAAAAAAAAAAATAGACAACAGCCAACACAACAATAGCCATCCGGTGTGAACGAATCAAAATTATATCTCTCTCTTTTTTTTTTTTTTTTTTTTTTGTCAGATGGGCAAGAAATAGTTTTTGGTGTGCAGCATTATTTCAGTGATTAGTTTATGGGTGATTAAAAGGGTTGAAAATTACTGGGTTGGAGTATTCACAAGTTGGGAACCACCAATGCAGCAGCAGCCTGTGGTCTCAGGCATCTCGGATGCACTGGCTAAGTCTCAGCAGGATGGACTTCTGTGGAGCTCACAGGCCTCTGGAGGGAGACTAGCACAATGTGCTCCTGTGCTGAGATATAGCCGCCATCGGGCAGCCACTGTAGCCCCCAGGAGAACAGTGAGCAGGCGGGGGGGGGGGGGGGACCCCCGAGGAGCAGCCACAGCATGGAAGGCCTGCAGGCAGGACAGTGGCACTACTGGATGGTGCCCCTGCAAGCTATGGAGGCCATGGGTTTGGCTAGGTGTGTGTCCTCCTGGTCAACTGGAGACCCAATAAACGTGCCTCCGGACTATGCAATTTAAAGGGATGTCACATGTCTTGGACAAATACCAATTATGGAGACACGTGTACAGCACTGACCACTACTATATTTACAGCATCACCTGCTTCTACTCTTTCAAGATCAGCTGATAGATAACAATGATGTGACCATGACTGACGGTTTTGAGGCATTTGGCAAAATACACTGTGTGGAACAGCTGCTTTTTTAATTTTAAAAATGTTGACATATGTACAATTGTCCTCGTATGCTGATATAAATATGAAAAATAAAAAATAAAAAACACAAACAACCTAAAAATACATGTTTAAATTTAGCATATGGGATATTGGCCTCTCAAAGCTTTAAAGTCCTGCGGAAAAATCCTATGTGCCTTAGCCCTGCATGCTAGTGTCTATTATGGGATGTTGTTTCCTTAAATGTGGAAAACAATAAACCGAAGCAGCATGCACACAGCATCACTGTCTACACAACAAGGATGGGCCTCAGAACGCCAAGTTCTGAATCCACTATTGTCCCCTTGGAGAACTTGCTACATTTGGGTCGTGTGAGTTAAGTTTTAGCGATACTTCTACATATATCTGTCATGCGGAGTGTCCATTAGTATACCAGGATCTTTACTGTTCCATGTGATAGTGTAACATGTCCGTAGTTCTTTTCAAGGTTCAGTTAAGTCCTAAGCCCATGGCAAAAAGAAAACGGTATCCAGATGTGACTCGGCTTCTCCGTCGTGGCCTCTCCAGGGGGTTTGTGTCGTCTGGAGAGCAGATAGATTTGCAGTGATTCCGTGAGGCTGGGTGTCTATAAAAGTTGAAGTAAACAGTTTCGATGTGTGTCACATGTAAACAGTTGACCTTAAATGGATGTCTCCCAGAGCTGCACAACAGAGAAAAGCAAATTGCACACCGTGAAGGCAGGAAGCAGACGTATTCTGAGCTATGAAGGTGAGAAGGACTTGGTGACTCCACCCATCCTCATGTGAGTGTGGACACACACGCTGATGTGTAATTTAAGCAATCTAATAGATGGATAAAATAAACACTGATTTTTAACTCTCTTTTACCTCTAAACCTATGTCTTATCCTTTTTAACAACCGTCATCTTTTAGTACAAAATGATTCCTCTCATCCTCATGTAACTCAAAGTTCTGAATGAATTTAAGACTGTCTCAAGTGAAAATGCTTTAAAATGTTGTTTCTTTAAACTACACCCTTCTTTCCTTGAGATTCTGAAACAGCCAGCTAGAGCAGTGGCTCTCAGTCCACCTGCACAGCTCAGTGGTCTGGGGACGTTTTTGAAATCCCACTGCCTGGACAATGCTCCAAACCGGTCTCTCTGAGTTGGACTCAGGCCTCAGTGGATTTTCAAAGCCCTCAGACAATCCCATGTATAGCCAACACTGAGTACTGACCTCAAGGAAGTATGATTCCACCACCACCCACTTCAAAATCACTGCCCTGGGCCTATGACCAGGTTATGACCATCCAATCCCATCTCTGCCTCCTAGAACAGAGCCTTCTTCTGGGAGCTGACATATCAGAGTACAATGATGCATCCAGGGCAAGACATCAAAGCCGTAATTCCCTTGCCTCTTTGCTCTCCTTGCCTCTGCCATCAGCTCTGTATATTGGCCCTGTTCATATCTAATTTATATGATGTTCAGTAATTGCCTTAATGGACTGGAAACAACTTTGGCATGATTAAATATGAATGCAACTCAGCTCAACAGAAAAGGAAAGCCAATTTAAAAAATATATAATCTAGCTGATAAATTATGTTTCCAGACAATGTGATTTGGGTATAATTATTATAAACATGAACAAAGAAAGCCTAAGGGTGACTTAGGTTGCATCCAATATCCACTTCTACTGGAAATCTGGGGCATATAACTAATGAGTTTCTGGGAATGAAAACAAAGAAATAACTAAAGAACTAAATGGATATTTCTATATGGGTTCCCTTGATGTGTTCTCTGGAACCTTCATGGATTCTTATGCTGATGCCCAGGCTGGCTATCCAACAGAACTGTGGTACAGCCACCAGTGTTATTGGCCTCATGTCATCCTTTGGTGTCCTTCTCACTTAAAAAGACAGCCATCTCCTCACATTTTGTAAACCAAATCTCTCAACTGTGAGGATCATTGCAGGGGGCGGAGGAGGAGAGGCGGGTAATACGGGTTGGAGGAGACAAGTAACAATGAATGGCTTGCAGAAGTTTGAGGGAAGGAAGATCTGGATTGATGCTCACAGGCTGGCCTGGAGTACTAAAGTGTTCAGGCTTCAGTGAGTCCAGTTTCCTCACAAATGGTTAGAAAGGTTAAAAAATAATTGAACGGCTCACTTGGCTCAGTGATTGAGTATAGACCTGTGAACCAGGAGGTCACGGTTCAATCCCCAGTCATGGCACATGCCAGGTTGCAGGCTTGATCCCCAGTGTGGGACATGTAGAAGGCTGCCAGTCAATGATTCTCTCTCATCATTGATGTTTCTACCTCTCTCTTCCCCTCCCTTCCTCTCTGAAGTCAATTAAAAATATATTTTAAAAAATAAATAAAAAATAAGTGACAGCTTGCCGAAAGAAGAGAAGAACAAAGAAATGACACTCGGAACACCTGAAGGCCACAATGACCCCTGTCAGGACAAAGAAGCTAAAAATTGCCAAGCCATCCCTTTTAGGACAATGCGTGACCGTGGCCATGTCCGTGTCACTGTAACAGAGGGGTTGCTGATAGAAAGATCTGCTGGTTTGATTCGCCACAGCCCAGAGACAGAGGCTGCCTATTCTGCAGGACTCTGTCATACGCTCATGTGGATGGTCCACAGTGGACAGAACCAGCCAGGCCTTCCACACAACTGTGCCAGAGGCTACAGTTTTTACTGTTTCCTCACGTTGCCAAGGAAGGGGCCATGGTCAGCCATGTCTTCTGGGGATTGGTCATTCTCAGGAATTCTACTGCAGGAAAGTTTCCAAAACCCTACACCCTGGTATAACACTCCAACTAGAAAGAGCAAAAGCAGCAAAGAAGACAATTTATTGGGGGAGAGATACTTTGGCAATTCCCCAGGGAGGGAAGGATTGATATTGCCTTAAATTTCATAACCACATACACATATCATGAAAAGCTGGATGCTTATCAAGTCCTTTTTTTTAAGGCCTGAAAGTTGAATACTGGGAATCTGAATTATTTATATTTTTAATTATTTACATATATATTGATTTCAGAGAGGAAGGGAGAGGGAGAGAAGAGAGAGAGAGAGACAGCAACGATGAGAAAGATTTACTGATGCCCAGGCATGTGCCCTTACCAGGAATGGAACTGTGATGCTCAACCACTGATCCATGCCAGCCAGACATGTCTGAGTTCTCTTCTTCCTTTTCATCTTTAATCATCTCCCATATTAATATGTAAAGATAATTTTTATATAATTGACAAAGCACCATTGATTCTTTTTAAAGTCTTTTTGATTATAGTAATCAGCTTATAATGTGTTTTCTTACTGACTTTGAGTTGAGAGAGTTAAAATTTGAATGATCCATATTTACCTTGAACTCCATAATCTCAATTCAGGATCAAAGAAGTTCTGAAATGTCTTTCAAAACCACAGAGCCTAGGAACCTAGGACACACTAGCAGATAAATCTGCCAGGGTTTTAAAGATTTATCTTATTTTACTTTTTTTTTTTGCTAAATTGTCTCTGAGAAGGTCAACATTACAATGTAACTGACCACAACAGAGCCTGGGCATCAATTAAGGTAATTATTCTTCAATTATATTTGTCACTTAAGCCTTGAAGGGCTGGTCTGCTTCTCTAAACTCCACTGTATCTTACTTTTCTCATAATGGATCTGTTTTGGGAACCATCGATCTAATCTGTAAGACTGATTAGAAACATGCTTAAAATGTAAAAGAGGATTTAGGATTTAAGTGAAATATCTGATGAACCATATATTTATAAAAATAATCAACTCAGTGTATATTTTTAAATCTGGCCTTTTGTTGTTAATTCTCATACAAGGATATTTCTCTATTGACTTTTAGAGAAAGTGAAAGAGAGAGGGAGAGACAAAGAGAAAGAAACATCAATGTGAGAGAGACACATTGTTTGGTTGCCTCCCACACACACCCTGACCAAGGCACATGTCCTTGACTGGAATTGAACCTACTACACTTCAGTCTGTGGGCTGATGCTTTATTCACTGAGCCAAACCAGGCAGGGCTAAATCTGGCTTTTTAAAATATAAAAGGTTGTTAAATTTCACCATACCTATTGTCTACTCTAAATATTACAAATTTGGAAGTCTCCTTTCTTTGTTGCCAAATTCTACTCCCATGTCTAAGACATTGATCTGATTTATTGCTTCTAAAATCCTAGTGGGTGTTATTACCAAGAAAAAGGCCTGAGTAAGCAAACTGGGCCCTCTGGCAGGTTTAATATACTAGCTACACTGAATAATAAGGTGCAAGTATATAGCAACAAATCGTTAATATATACCAAGCATTTCTAGAATTCATCAATGCGGTAATTAACATAATTTGCAAATGTAGATCTGAGCCTCAATGCCCCAAGAATCCTCTATTTTTCAAACTTAAGTTTTTGCTTTTACTTATGAACAAAGAATAAAGAGCTCTTTTAAAAGATGAACTCTCGGATAAATGGTAATGACCGATGACATGAGTGAATGGAAGAAGTTCTCACATACCCTGGCACTTTGTCGGTTCACTTTCTTCTCCTCATCGGGAAGTGGAGGCATTGGGTAGGGGTATTTTCTGCTGGAGGCAATAGACCCAGTAGATGAAGAAGGAGACTTGGCAGGAGACAAAGTCCTGAGACGTTGGAGAACACATGAAATAAACATTATGGATGGCCTAATATCTTTCTCAACTATCTGAAAAGTGGGTTCAGAACAAACCCTCTGATTTCTACTTTCAAAGGCCACTACTGCAGGGGTTAGCTACTGGGAGACAATGTCATTCACAACACTGGAATGCTGGCATTTTTATCTTCCTAATCTCATAACGGCAATGGACTGTTTTAATGTTAGTACACAGAATCATACTTTCAACTAGAAAGCCAGGAATGAAGTGTCCTATAGAATAAAAAGCTAAAATGGAGAAGGGATAAAATTATTCTAAGAGCTCATAATGGCAAATTAAGTATATAACATCTCAATAGTCTGCCTTATTTTTACCACATAATGTAAAAACACACACATATTTTTAGCACAGTTACTCCAATTCTATTTTTAAGGCCCCCAAATACAATTGGCTACATTTATTAGTTGCTAAGTCACACACCAGTTTACACAAAACTCATGCATTCAGAGGCCAATGTTAGTTTTGAAAGAACAAAGGCAAATACAGTGATTTTAATAGTAAATTAGTAAACATGCAAGCAGTAAGGAGTGCAGAGTTCCAGCCAAACAAAGAGTCTGATGAGAACATACAAAAATGGTCTGATTAGTCTCTCCAATCAGCATGTCTGCAGGGGAGGATTCTAGGCCATAGAAGTGGATCCTGATAACTCATGTAGGGTACACTTGGTGTGTTAATAAAGTGGCTCTGCTGTGACTGGGATTTTACTAAAACTAAAAACAACACAGTGACAAGACCCTTTTCTTCAGTCCCCAGGCTGATGCTCTATCCACTGAGCCAAACCAGCTAGGGCAAGACCCTTTTCTATTTGAATAGCATGTGTTCTCTTCATCATGGAGATGCTCCAAATGAAAGACATGTATAAGCTCTTGGCATTTTATGCTGTTGATTGTGCACGTGTGGTGGTAATATTTGTGACTAAACTGAGCACACTGGAAGAGCCCATAGTTGCCATCTTTTCTTTAAAGTTAATAAAACAAAACAAACAAACAAAAAAAAAACAGCTAAGAGTGGCAAGTGTCAACTCATATCAGTAGAAGAAAGATGTGATGATTTAGCAGGAGCTATCTATTCATAAATGTCACCACTACACATCCATGCCTCCTCGGTTCCTGGTGCAAAGTGGTAATGACCTACACAACTGAATGGCTTCACTGCTGCATGAGAGCTGGAGCACTGGTTTCGGAAGACTGCACCTCATCTGCATCCTGAGTGACTGGCTCCACCAGGGAGCAGTGGGTGGGGTAATACTGGCTAGGGGAGGACCTCAGCCTATACTGTATCAACGGCATCAAGATGTCTTTCTTCCTCCCTTAAATTTTAGTTCCTTTCCATTCATTCTCATTTGCTCTGGTTCTGTCATGGTTTTCAAATCAGTTCCTATTTCATGGACACTGAATGAAAGCTACTATTTTAAAATAATTTTTCCCTACAAACCCTGAATGTTCTCGCTCAATTTTAAGAATCAAGCGTGATTCAGATTGCTTTTAATCTGGAACTCCTAATGTTCCCTCTGTTTTTTGAGAAATGTCCAGGACCACTCCTTCGTGTGGCTTAGACTATTTTGAATGATTTTTCTTGGGTCAATGCTCTCCACTGTGGAGCACGTGGGCAGAATGAAAAATGTTAGTACTTCAAATCCTCTAAAGTACTATTAAAGCAATGCACTACAACTTCCAAATTTTTCTAATTTGGAAATTAATTATTTTTAAAACAGGACTATGTTCTTTAGTAAATAAATTCAATATATGTGGAATAAGGACAAGTTTTTGTATTTAAATGCAACTTTCCAAAACAAGGGACATTAACCTCTGTGCAGATTTTTAGCCTAATCACTACTGAGAGGATATCACAGTTCAAGAAAGCCAGTCAGATACTCAAACAACTCAATCTCAGTGACTTTAGGGGATCATGCAGGACAAGTTTAACTTGCTGCAGTATATGTGTCCATAACATGAGCCATGAGCGTATAGCTTCAGAGCCATGCCAGCCATTCCCTGGGCCACGGGTGGAAAAGACCAGCTTTGTACACATGTGTGGCCATTCCAATGAGGAACTGCTAACAGCCAGTCTTCCCCTCAAATACCTTTCCATGACCAAAACCAATTATGACTTAAAACAAAAGAGGCGGCATTCTCTAGAACCCCAAAGAAACTGCACATAAACACCCAGAACCCCAAAGAAACTGCACATAAACATCCAGGCTAACGGATTCTTGGAACCTGAGGGGAGAGAAGCAGGAAGGTTCGGGTTGGGGGAGGGGCATGGGGTCCTGGAGGCTGGGTGGAATGTGAGAGCATAAAGGGGACTATCTTGGGGGAGGGTTGGGGGGGGTGGAGAGCCAGAGCAGGAGTCAGAGTAAGAGTAGAGAACAAGGCAGGGGGAATCAGTTTAGGGAAACGAACTTGACATTTCTTCCAAGCCACCTCTAGGCTCTGACCCTGGCTACTTGCCCAGTGGTTTCAATCGCTTCCACTGGAACCCAGGCATGGGCCCAGGTAATTCGCTGACAAAGTAATCTTTGGGCAAATGCTATCCGTTAACATCGCTGCGTTTTTAAAAGCCATTAGAGCCACCGTGGGTGCCATTTAGAATCACACTGTGAAGTGTGCCTGTGTGCCAAAGCATTGTGGTATGTCGTAGGACTGCATCTGATCCCCTGGGCCTGCCTTTAGGAGATATGCCTGTAAGGCAACCTCAGTTCAGCTCTGTCCCCCAGCACAGGTACACACAAGGGACACGCGGCCACCGCTTGGCTGCGTTCCACATGCAAATTTAATAGTAGCCTAATCCTGAAGGAATTAACAAGTATCCTAAGATAAGATGTCAATGCCCACCCTGTTACTTTTAACTAGTTGCAGTGAAATGGAAAGGGAATAGATTTAGGAGTCAGAGCCAGGCTCATAATTCTGGTTCTAAAACTGGCTGTTTTACCTTGAGTTACCCTTTGTGCCTCAGTTTCCTCCATCCATAGAAAGGGAATAAGAATACCTATATCTCATGATGTTGTGGGAAATAAAAGCATGCAATCTATAGCAGTTACTAAGTTCATTTTCAGAGTTACAGCATTTTCCATGAGGTCATGGGAGTGGACTCGAAATCCGGTGATGAAGTGAGTCATCCATCCGCTAATACCCAAGAGTAAGGATACCTCCTAGGGGCTCGTAAAGCCCTGTCACCCATGGAACTACCTCCAGGATCTAGGTGTGGGGAGGTCATCCTCTTGCCTTGACCACCCGCTCCTTCCTAAAGTCCTGAATGTATGCCAGGATAACCTGAGCAGCCAGTCACATGAGCACTAGGGAAAGGAGCACTGCTGAGGCACTCTGATCACACAACGTCTTCTGTCATTTGCTTTGCTCTTTGTGGTCATGTGGATACTATACGTTAAAGATCTGGCTGTAGTTAGACCAGTTCCCTGCATTCACTAAGTCCTCGTTGCATTTTGGTAATGATGCCAGAAACCTCACACCACACAGGGGTAATTAATAAGGTGATCTTTGCCCTCATTGGTGGTTGTGACAGGAAAAGTGGTCCTGAGTGACCTGGCAGCCTAGGAAGCAGACCCGAGCTTAAGCATAGGGTTGGCAAAGAGCGTCAGCCAAGGCATGGATGCACTGGGGGCCTATGATGTGAAGCATGGCTTGGATGGAGAGTGGATGAAATTCTTTCTTTTTGTGTTAAAATCCTTGTGTGTATCTCAATTATTCACCACTTCCACCGAAATTCTGTACTGATTTTCAAGTCTGACCAGTATTACCCTTAACAAAGCAAACAAAAATTAATTTTAATATGACTATCCTCTGTGAAAACCCCCATCTCATATTGTCAGAGGCCGTAAAGGAGCCCCTAAAATTGCCCTTGCAGCTTTGCACATGCAACCGGAAGTGCTACAGCCTCTCCCCATCCAACTTGCGTCTAGTCATGCAGCTTCTGGGCAGACCTGGGTGTCGATTGGAAGAAATGTGAACTCTTCTCTGGGAGCCACATACACTGCTCAGCTCACCCAGGGCAGGGGAATCAACTCTTCCGGGGTACCATTTCATAAATTGCTGCTGCAAAATGCCAAGTTCACTTAGGCATATCAGCCCTAGCCCACATGGGACCAAAGGTGTTCTCTTTGGGTGCCATGACTGATACAAATTACAATCTGCCCACAAGCCTGAGGAAGACAGAAAGGAGAGACGGGATTGCCGGGGAGCCAAGATTCCAAATAACATTCTGAACCGTCTTACCTGTCTTCCTGACGCTGGCCATCTTGGGAGCTACGGGTGAGGGTGGGATGTTGGAATGTGAGTGTATGTGTATGAGGTTCAATGGGAAAGTGGGATAAGCAGAGGGGTGGGGCAAGAGGGAAAGGTGGGGTATAAAAGCAGGACATTTCTGTGAGCAGGCAGGGATTATGCTTTCCAAGGGGCATATGCAAATGTATGGCTCAAATTCAAATGCAGGTAAGTCTAATCATTTTCTCAAACTATACGTGTCTAAACTAAATGGTACACAGGAAGAGAAAGTCCACCTTATATGGGTGCTAAGAGTTAGATACACATATACATATTGATATCTGTTAAATGCTGACCCACATCACGGCAATAAATAATCAAAAACTTATAGTTAAGTTGTATTCAACAGAGGTAGTAGCAGTTCAGCCTGTATTTTCTTCTTTATATTAATTGCCACAAAGTAATCAGATTTAAAGTGGACATTTGTCTTTAGGGAATCACTCTGATATTATAAAGAATGAAAAAATGCCATTGAGAGCTCTTGGAAATTCTTTGAGTTGCAGTGAATTGAGTAAATATGCTAGTTTCTAAAATGTACAGATGCTGTGCCTGCTTGTTTGTGAAGCAAGAACATGTTGCAGATATGCTTCCTGTTCTATTTGAAGTGTCAAACACAGCATTTTTATTGGAATAAAAAAATCCCTTATCTTTGCTGGGAATCTGTAAAGC